GTAGTCTATTTTGGCTGTTATTATGGTGGGAGTGGCTTATTTATTTATTTGTGTTAATTTATTTTACTTGTTTTCTTTTTTTTCATTTTATATATCTATTCTTTTCTGTTTTCGATGTTTTATTAACGTAGTAAAAAAACTGGGTGGGGGGATTTGCTTAGGTCGCTTATTTAATAGTTTGTTTTGGTCTGGGAAGATAATTAAAACTATTCATCCAATTTTTGGATTGATTGCTGTAGTCTATTCTGTTATTTTGGCGGGTAGGGCAGTTTTTAATTTATTTTATTTATTTGGGTTGATTATTTTTAGTTGTTTTTGCTTATTTATTTTTATTTGTTCTAACGGCTATTTTAGCGGGAGCGATTTGTTAATGTCTTCATTATTTTATTTGGATTTCTTTTTTTATTATTATTTACTTATTTTTCATTTTGTATATATTTATTTACGCTTTTCGATTTTTAAGTAACGTAGTAATTTTTATCGTTATATAGCAGTTATATCTATTTTTCGTCCAATTTTTGGATTGATTGTTGTAGTCTATTCTAACGCTTATTCTGACGGGAAAGATTTATTAATTTGTTTATTATTTACTTTATTTATTTGGATTGATTATTTTTACTTGTTTTTTATGTATTTATTTTATTTTTATTTATTCTATTTCGCCTATTCTAACGGGAGTGGTTTGTTAATTTGTTTTATTTGCTTGCATTAATTTTTTTACTTTTTTTTTATTTTGTTTATTTTTATTCTTTTCAGTTTTCGATATTTAAGTAATGTAGTAAAAATTTGTTTTCATGTCTGCATTTTGAGAAGAGTTCAGATCGTTTATTTAGTAATTTATAATTGGTGGGACAAGGCAATAATAGCTACTTTTTCCTCCAAGCAAAGTTTGCAGGTTTTGGATTGTTATAGACTGATGATCTTTTTCTTATTTTCCATGATATTTTTGTTGTGATTTGCGTTTTGTTTTCAATTTCCCAGATATACTTATTTATATTTACATACGCTCTATCTCTGATATTGAGCACTTTATCCCATAAATATAGCACACCTTAAAACTTTATTTCTTTATATATATATATTGGTTGTTCTGCTGTGTATATGTGTAAATATTACTCAAAACTTTGATTTCAAATAAATATATCAGCATGCATCTGTCTTATATTGTGTTCAATTTAGTAGTTCTTGCTTAATGAAGATAACTAATTTGCTTACGGTCACATCACATTGTACGATCAGTTAAGCAATGTCGAACCTGGTCAGTACCTAGATAGGTGACCGTCGGGGAATACCTGGTGATGTAAGTTTCAAGGTTCGTATGGTGTAATGAATAATGGCTCAGAATGGTTAATTGGTGAGCCGAGTTCAAATTCACGTTAGGTTCGTTATATTCACTTGCAAATTTGCTTGGGAGAAGTATGAGTCTATCTCTTCTTCTCTCCCCAGCCACGGGTTAATTATTAAGACGTTTTTTATTAAACCATTATTATCTCACCAACAAAATTCACCTTTTAATTGATGGTGTTCCCCGGTCCACCCTGGCCCGTGGTGGTAGCACCTGATAGGGTCCCAGCTGTGGGCAAATAGTTGGTTAACTAGGGGTCAAAACACTATTAAAGTGTAAAAATAGGTTTTAATACCAATAATATGATTTTGTAAAAAAATTATTACCAGCAATAGATTCTGGAAAAAAATACCAGCGATATATATCTTTAAAAATGTGTATATTAACAGCAATATATTTTGAAAGAAAATATTACCAGCAATAAAAATCTTGTCGGCATTAAATAACACATTGAGGTTGATATCCCGTAAACCAAACCCACAAAATTCTTGCAATCTAAAAACGTTTTCTTGCTTTAAACAAACTGCAAGTTTAATAAGCTGTAAAAAACGGATCAATCAATTTGCATATTACGTAAAACTAAGTAAAGATATTCACTAACCGCTCCACCCGGTCGGGTGTGACACAAGGCCGAGTTTATTGTGGGCTATCCGAGCCCATAGGCCCGGTCAAAAATTCCCCGTAGACCCCGTAAAAACGGGGTCGGGTAGCTGTCTACCTACCCCAGACGAGACTGCCCGGGGGCATAGCCTCGTGTGGGTTCATCTCTGCTCGGAGGCAGAGAGTTTGACAAGCACACTGTGGAAGACCACAGTAAACTGTTTATTTACTTGACCATCCCCACTGAGTCAGGTTGTGACACAAGGTCAGTTTTTAACGTGGGGACCCGAATGTTTTCACTCGGGCCGCTGGTCTTAGCTGGTCAGAGCCAGTCTAAGCGCAGCCGTGACACTACCAGCAAGGATCAGGATGTGTACGCCCCTCAAATGAGCAGACGGCACCCCGAATCCTCATCGGCTAAGGTACCGCACCTGTGCAAAGCTCAAGACCACAGTAAACTGTAAGTAAATACGGTTTTTATTTATATCTATCATCATGTATCTTATATCCTGACTAATTCAGCTGGTTTTGATGATTAGCATATCGGCTTTAAAAATGCATTTTTTTAATAATTCCTCTGTTATTTATTTCTTATATTGTCTTTTTTTAAAAAAAATAAGCAATTGTCTTTTTATAATTTATTTTCTTATTTAATCAAATAAAGCTACTTTCTGACCTAAAAGTGGTAACCGCTTTAGCATTTAGATCACATCTTGAGAGTAAAGGGAAGTAACCAACTTTGATATTTTTAATAGTATATTGTAAAAAAAATTAACAATTATAAATGTTTTAGCCTGAAAGTTCCCCACCCCCAGACAAAGAAATGACTGCGTAAAGCAGCGGCTGAGCAAAGAAAAGCGACTTGACACCACGAGCAGCGAAGACATTTTGTTAGTTTTACTTTAGTATCTTAATAATGTTAATAGATTGAACATTATACAATGTTTTACAATTAAGGAATGAAACTCTTTTAAACCCGGCTACGTTTACTGTTTGGATGAAAAGCTGTCATCTCCAGGATCGCTGTTCTTAATATCGAGTTTGTTTTACAAGCAGACGAATTCTTTGATTTCTGAAATTGATAACTCTGGGAAAAAAAAAACTCATCGTGAATTCTTCTGTCGAACTACTTCCCACTGAATCCAACGTGTTTGTTTATAGACTCCTCAGTTTCAGAATTAGAAGCGGGTCAGTGAATTAGAGTTTAAAGAGAAGAGAGAAACTAAGAAAAAAATGCAAAGTGTATGGAAAAATTTGGTCTATGATAATAAAACATTCTTTATAATTCTCTGTGTGAAGTGTTTGCTAATATAACGCATTTCTGACCTTGGTGGACATTCGAAAAGTTTTCGACTGTATCCACCGTAGTCGAATACTTCGAGAATGTGATATTCCTGAAAAGGCGGTAAATATAATTGGCTTAATGTATCAAGAAAAGAGAACGAGAGATCTTATACCGAATGGCAACACCGACTTTTTCTGAATCGTGGCGGGAGTCCTTCTGGGGGATACACTCGCTCTGTACACCCTTGTGCAAATCAATTTAAACAAACGAATAATTCCGTTATTATTTTCGTTTTGTTCGTATTTTTCCAATAAAACATGACCCAGTACATATGTTAGTACTTCGTATGTTAATTCCACAAATTCATTCCTTGCAGATTGACCACAAATTCTTAATTGGATTTAAATTCGATTATTCGGGCCAATCTATAGTACTATATTTGCTCACTGGTAAGCCTTGTCAATGTGTTCGTGCAACGTTAAAATTTTCGTACGCTTCCTTGGAGTAACGTCCATGGCCGTAAGACAACTAATAGACAGTCGAGACAATAGTGTTCATGCGTGATAATAACGTGATGCAATCATGGATGACGCAATATTTTTCAAGGTCAAACAAATTCAATCATAAACTCCGAAAATAGGTTGATATTACTGCGCACCACTGCAAATGAACTAATCTGAGGAAAAAATAGAAATCGATTACACCCTGTCACTCCAGTGGGTCTAAAACTGACCGTATGGTGAAAGAAAGAAAACTAAAATTTAATTAATTTGCACAAGGGTGCATCTTTTCGCTGGTCTATAGATTGGACCAAGCAGTACAAGGCGAAAAAGATGGCCTATGATTCAAAACTGGATAGAAGAAATCCCCGTTGAACATCAACAATAATAACGGATACTGATTACTGAAGGAATAGGTCAGGCTCAAGAACTTCGAGTAGTGACTGAAAGAGTCAAGGTTGGTTTTCCTCTCAATCTGAAAAAAGACCGAGATATTCCAATTCAACAACGTAACACAAGACCAAGTGTGGGTCTTAGGCAGCACACTGATTAAAATCGTTCAAGGCTTCAAATGCTTTGGCATATCCAACTTGCGAGAAGTGCTCTAGCTTGGTCAACCTTCAATAAACTGTCGAAAGTATAGAGATCAAAACTCAAAACAATCATCTTCCTCACTATAATAGTCAGTTTGCCTGTAGGGAAACGAGGCATGGGCCCCTGTCAAAATCTTCTGCAAGAGGCTAGATGGATGCTACACTAGAATGTTACGAGTGGCACTTAATATACACCGTAGTGCCGAACTAACGAAGATAGCATTCGGAAATCGTGTCGGACATTGAGCTATCCAGTAAAAATTGGATATAAACTCGTTTTATGGCAACCATGTACAAAACGAAGGAAAATGGACCAGCAGACTTCCACGATACAGCTATGCAAAATATTTGTATCGAATATCTAGATGAACTCAAAACAGCTATGATATTATCGGAGAAAATAGAGACAACATTCTGAGATGCTCTGAACAGAGACTAAGCCAAAATGAAATAATATAAGAGCGGTTTCTAATGACAACATTGACGTTTAGAACTTTTGACCTTACACTTTACTGAAAAAGTTGTGTATTTTACTTCTTACTTCATACTCGCCCAACTCCAGATAAGGTCTTGCGACCTGCCACTCCAGAAGCCCCACCACATATCGAGGTCTTCTGTTAGTATGAGTAGTGAGATTGTATCAATCGCCGGCTTGCTAGGCCTGTTATATATTTTAAAGCACCTGGTATTCCCAAGCGATCACCCCTCTAGGTACTGACCAGAGTCAACGTTGCTTAACTTTGGTGTTCGAACGAGAACCGGTGTTTCAACGCGAGATTAATTAAAAGCTAGATTTTTTTTAAGGCTGATTTTGCAAACTTGAAAGACTTTCTCAGAAGATTGTTATAACAAAATGTTTTTCCAATTTGACAATGTTTAGCAGACAGTCTTGCAATCCATGTCGAATATTCTTAGGGTGCCCAACTCATATGACCTTTTGCCAGACTATGTTAAGCTTATAAATATTTATATTGGTCTATATTTAATACAAAATGAAAGAGTGCATGTTGCTCGTTCATACCTCAGATTTGTTATTATAAGCCTAATTTTTTACAGAGTTTTTTTTTTTTTTTTTTTTTTTAACTCAAGCAAGGCCAAGCGACTAAGACACAAGCGGTTACTGGCTGTGAAAAAATTAGAAAACAGAAGGATTATTAATGAGCGAGAACAAAAGATTAGGGATCAGGAAGACAGTAGATGACGATTGATATTGTATTTAAATTTTTAAAGAATAAAGTTGGCTGGAAAGCATGGAGCCGGAAAAGGGTTCCTTAAGCGAGAAGTGCAACAAAAGAAACTGTTAGCATAGAACTTACGGCTACATCTAGCCAATTCAACTGTAAATTGATGAGACCTTGCCGCCAATCTAGTACTTCGCGTAAATTTAAAAAAGGTCTTAGGCACCATCGCGAATAGCTCATCCAAACACTTGTTATGTAAATATTCATAGAAAAGGCACAGGGATGCAACTTTACGATGGTGGGAAAGTGACTGAAGCCGAGACGCCAGCCCAGGACCAATAATATTGCTGATTATTCCTTGGATTTATCAAGAATCTCTAACTATATAGCAGAATCACCGATTTGCCAAATTTTTCTCAGCTTATTTTTTAGAAACGTTTGTTTCAAACTTCAATTCTAGAAAGCCAGTATGAAATCAAAAGAACGCATGTTTCTCCAAGACTTTCATGTTCACCGAATACACGGATGATAAGGAAGGTTATGACAATCAAGGCAGGTTCAGAGAATGATAACCATTTAAGTCGGATACGAAGACTTGATTTACCGTATGATAAATGCCGTAATTATGAATAACGAAGAAGACTCGGGTAATTTTAATAAAGGCAATTTCTTTTATGTACCATGTCCTTTCAGAACATAGGCGATAATGACTCCTTTCTCTTTTCACTTGTTACTCTCAATAAGTTTCGTGCCTCTGCCAACTCCCACAGAACATGTTCTGCCATCCACTAAGTATGTCAAGCATTGCTTTCCCTCGTCTTTTTCCCTCTATTCGACTTGTGAGTATCAGATTCTCCAGGCCCTTCTTTCTCATTACGTCTCCCAGAAATTTCAGCTGCCTCTTCATGCTAAGTATAAGCTTCCTTCTTGTTTGTATCCTTTCCAAGACCTCATCGTTGCTCACACGCTCGCTTCATGATATCCTCAGCATCCTTCTGTAGAACCACATTTCCGCTGCCTCGAGTCTCTTCTTCATCTTTGAGGAGACCGTCCAACATTCGCTGCCGTATAGGAGGTCAGATATCACGTAGCAGACATTTCTTTGTCACTAAAGAAATCTTCCTACCTCGCAGTATTCTGCCCAGCTTTTGGAATACATCGTTGGTGATCCCAATCCGTCTTCGGATCTCAGCGTCACACCTACCGTCCTTGAAAACAAGATAGGTTGAGCTGGGGGTGGCCGCTTTTGTTCACTACCGTAAGATGTTACAAAATAAATATCGACCTAAAACTGAAGTTATGTTTATAAAGAGTCGTGTGATATTTAGACTTTCATGTCGATGCCACGTATGACATGAAATATCTAAACTGCCATCTGTATACAACTGCTTTCTCCGTCCTGGGAATGACGATAAACTACATCCGACAACAAGGCCTCTGAGCAGGAGATTTTCAGGAGCGTGGAACCACCTCTTAATTGCTAGTGTTCCCCGGTCCACCCTAAACCGGGGTGGTAGCATTTGTTAGGGTCCCAGCTATGGGCAAATAGTTAACCCCTGAACTGAGGTTAAACCACTATGAAAGTGTAAAAATAGGTTTTTAATACCAGAAATACGTTTTTGTTAAAAATTATTACCAGCAATAAATTGCCAGAAAAACTTTTTGAAAAAAAACCTATTGCTAGAAAAACTTTTAGAAAAAAAAACCTATTGCTAGAAAAACTTTTAGAAAAAAACCTATTGCTAGAAAAACTTTTAGAAAAAAACCTATTGCTAGAAAAACTTTTAGAAAAAAAACTATTGCTAGAAAAACTTTTAGAAAAAAAACTATTGCTAGAAAAACTTTTAGAAAAAAACTATTGCTAGAAAAACTTTTAGAAAAAACGATTGCCATAAAAACTTTTTGAAAAAACGATTGCCAGAAAAACTTTTTGAAAACAATATTGCCAGAAAAACTTTTTGTAAACAATATTGCCAGAAAAACTTTTTGAAAAAACTATTGCCAGAAAAACTTATCGGCTTTAAATAACCCATTGAGGTTGATATGCCGTAAAATTAACCAACCGTTTTCTCTGACTTCAAAGAAATAAATCTTCTAGGTTTTAAAGAAACCAATCTTTCATCAGACCCTATAGACTGGCGCTACAGAATCACAAATAGATTTATCAAAGAACAAAAATAACATCACCTACATATTTACTACGATAAAATGGGTAGCACACGTTATGATCGATTGATTTGTTTGCTTTTTACGCTTTATCAATTTTTTGTAGTTTATTTAAAGTCCAGAGATATTTTGGCTTGTAGGAGGTTGATTACTGTATCCGATGTCCCCAAGCGATCTCCCATTTGAGTACTGACCGGGCTCGATGCCGTTTAATTTCGGGAGAAATACGTGTAACTAGAAAACGAAATCGATATAATCAACGATGTTTGGACACAGCAAAGAAAAAAGGGAAATGAATACAAATTGTGGGAGTGAGTGACCGACTGAATGACGGAGTGACTAATACATGGAGTCAAACTCATTGATTGACAGACAAAGACGGATACAAACACAGGGAGGAAGAGAGGGGCAGAGATGGATACGGGCTTACGATCACATCACGTTAAAACACCGGTTCCCATACGATCACCAAAGTTAAGCAACGTCGAGCCTGGTCGGTGCCTAGATGGGTGACCGCTTGGGAATACCAAGTGCTGTAAGTTTGGATGTGTCAGTGGTTTAATGGATAATGGCTCGTAATTGTTAATCAGGGAACAGTTCTAATTCCTGATGGCTTTCCTTTATTCACTTACTCGCAAATATCCATGAGAACGGTATGAATCCACCTCTTCTCCCCCCAGATATGGGTTAATTAGTAAGAGTTGATCACTAAACCATTATTATTGTTCTGGCCTTGTTGCGGCCAGAAATAAAGATACAAGAGAGGAATTGAGGTAAACAAATATATTAACAGAAACAGTAATAAAAACATTTAAAAACGAGTGTTACAGCAAGAATATTTGGTCCGACTGTCAGAAAATTTCCTCTCCCAAAGGCAGTACCTGCTCCTATTTATAGCTGGGAAAGTCCATGCGTGCGTGGGTAAATTACCATAACAATTATCTAAATAAAAATATTTTCTGGTCTTAAATAACCAGCAAAGTGTTGATAATCCGTAAAAACGAATTAATCAACAGATGAATACGAACTCTGTGTGTGTTTGAAAGATTCAAACAGCGAGTGAGAAAAAATGGCGTAAATGAGTGAGAGTGATATAGATGTGAATGTACTAGTGATGAGAGACAGACGGATGCAAGCAGATGAGGACTGAGTGGAAAAGTTGACTAGATAGTTTTATCAACAAAGTACCCAATGAGAATCAGACCCTTAATTGAATGATTCATTAACCCTTATGCTAAAACATCGTTAACTTTATTTAACCTTAAAGTTAAGAAAAAGAAACGAAATTTTAAAATATAGAACAAGTTGTCACAAACAGGTTTAAAAAATAATTATCCTAGTACTATCCTTAAAGCAATATGATTTATTGGGTGGCTCTCCTCTCCATATAATATGCAACAGATTTTACTAAAGTTACTAACAACTGATACTTCAGGGGAATTTATTTACTAAAATATGCTTGATACAACATAAGGATACTCGTTTCTCACCCTAATTTTTAGAAGTCGCTTCGGCGTGGATTGACGTTTAGGGGGGTAGTCTGGCTGTCCATATTATTGATATGTAAGTGTAGTCCTCGCTGGGTGCCCCATGGAAATTCGACATTAACTAACTCAAAGGTTGTCGGACCGTAAAATCAACCAACATAATCTAAGTGGTTACCCGGCCAAGTAGTGAACGGATTCAACACTGCTTAACTTTAGTGATCGTAACACTGCTGTAACTGTAAGATTTGACATTCTGGAAAAGGTAAACTACCTCATTCGGAATTTGAACTGTGTTCGCTGAGTTCATTCTACATGCTGTTAAACATAGGGCCAACCTGTCATTCACAAAACTTGGGTTTATCCACTAGTGAGGATCGAACTCACTCCGAATAACCAGTTGCTGACCACTGCGTCACTGTAAAGAGCATTTCAGTAAATCAGCATATATATTCTTGTCGTTAAAGTCGAGGATTATTCTTAGATGCCGGGATAATTCTGCCACCATTTTGTTTTTCCTACTTACAAAATCAGCCATTCTTAATGAGTATAAATATTTATATTAACAAACGTCTGCACTTGGCAGTGTCTCTTGTATGCTTATCTTAAACTGTCAGCGTGCAAAAATATCGCCTGAGCAATATCATGCAAGAGGCGCCATTGATACAAGAAGGTCAATGGCGCTTATGAACCTACGCTAATATTTAAATCTTCAATAATAGTCGCAGATGTGAGGCGGGTGACATTTTTACTCTTAAATTCACCCTCACACATAGCAATGTTTCTCTTAAATCTCGCTTGTATTCATACATAACAAAAGAAGCAGGAAAGAGAAATGGTTATATATATATATATATATATATATATATATATATATATATATAGACAGACAGACACACATCTTCGACGTATGAGGGTCAAGCAGATCAGTTCGTAGGAACCGAAATCCCGACACCAGCACATGAGATTTGATTATAGTTGTGACTGTCCGAAAATGAATGACGAAATATTGGCGTGAATAAATTCTTTATTACTGAAGATTCTAATCTTTTGGGATCTTGTGGATGGTTCACCACTATAATCAAATTTCATGTGCTAGTGTCATTCTCGGACAGTCTGTGGAGTCACATAAAGCTCCGGTTTGATACGTGACCCTTACATTGTGTGAATAATGTGTGAGAGACTGCCTTATTATATCTGGGCAGGTTCCGATACCGGGTGCAGGTAGTAAATCACGTGCTTCTGCATTCGGTGGCCAAGAGTAACCCCCCCCCCAGATCAACCCTGCACTTAGTTTCATTTGACGGTACCGCACCCCGGGTGTGAAATTTGAAGGAAGTGTCTGTTCCGGCATAATACCACCGGTGGATGTTTCAGTAACAAAACGGGGGCAAAAACTTATATTATGCGTTTTGATCATAGAAATGGTTTCTTCAGACAAAAAAAAGATATCTGAAGTCCTTTCGAGAGACCAGTGACAGAAAGGGTAAATAAGATAGGTGGGTATGAACCGATGCAAAACATCCGTTAAGGATGGCAAGTGGAATATGAAAATTTTAACTACATGGATTGAATGAAGGATTCGGTTCGAAAATTCCAACATGGATACTGAGCAAAAGAAATGTTTTAGCGCGTCACAACAAAAAAATCTTTTTAAATAAAAATAAAACCATAACAATGTAAAATCTCTTCAAAATCAATCACTATATTCTATAATTGCAAAGCGGTTGGATCTTTAGGGATGTTTCCTAGTCAAAGTTGTAACTTAACCTTGGGCACGTATTTTCCAATTCCATTTGTACTTTAAATTAAAAAAATCTATACGTTAAAGAAAGATACATGAATTTCAGGGACCACCTACCTTGAGTTCATTTTCAGGTTCTTCTAGGATGAGAAATATAGCTTTCATCACAGCAATTATACCTTTCGGTGGGTTACTGTAAGATTTCACTTCTGAGACAGCCCGATGGTCAAAGGACCCGATAGTGTAACAAAGTTCACTAAGTTCGCTTATTCCTTTGTATAATTTATCAACTACAGCAATTTCTTCATTTAATTCATTGTCAAAATTTACTCTTCTGGCTTCTTCTAAAGCCGTAGCCAATAATTCTTTCTTTCGAGATTGGTATGCTTCAATTAGATCTGAAAATAAAATCGACCATTAATACTTGATTTGGGAACCAGTATTTCTGTGGCATGTGATTCGCGCCAGGAAATACCAGATCGTTTGAATCGAATTTAATGTTAATAGGGGACTTTTTTTATTCTAAAAGGAATTGATCTGTGGTGACCCCAGTATAGGTCCACCCTAAGAGATAAAATAAGGTTTCCATACAGTATTACAGCAGAACATAAAGGTTGATTTACTTGAAGAGTTGACTAGAAGGTAACATTTTAAGAATCTGGTTTCAAATTACATTAGTTGCTATCTCCTGAAGAAGAAAATATTTGTTGCTACCCGCTCACGAAACTCAGTTAAAACTTAGGATATACACACACAAGACAACCACATAACAGATTTATATAAACACTCCACACGGGAAGGAATGAAGTTAGTAGTGCAAGTTTGATGCAAAAACCCCAAAAACAGAGATACCATCACTTACTACTAAGGAAAAATGTGCTTCATGACAGGAATTTAACCTGTATCGTCTCACCATTTAATCTGTGTTATGCACACACACACACACACACACACTTACGGATAGATCACGTTGAAACAGCGGTTTCCGTACGATCATCACCGAAGTTAAGCAGCGTTGAGCCTGGTCAGTACCTAGATAGGTGACCGCTTAGGAATAACGTGCGGGTGGTGTAATGGTTAATGTCTCAGAATTGTTAATCGGAAAGCAGAGTTCCAATTCCAGTTGGGTTCGTTAAACTCATTTACGCGCAAAATACGTTTAGGAAAAGTATGAATACCCCTTTTTTCTCCCGAGCTATGGGTTAATTAGTAAGACTTGTATCCTTAAACTATTATTATCTATAAAACAAATTTCAATCTATTTTCTAGCTTTAAATAATCTACGAAAACTTATATATATATATAGTGATTTTCCAAGCGTAGCTCAGATGTGGCACAAGGCCGAAAGTATGGGGCACCCGGTGAGGATCGAACTCACTACTCAGTCGTAACTGTTCTAGCAAGACAAGCTTGCTAACCATTACACCACCACGAGGTATTATATATATATATATATAATATAATATATATATATATAATATATATATAATATATATATATATATATATATATATATATATATATATATATATATATATATATATTTATATATATATATATATATATATATATATATATATATATATATATATATATATATATATATATATATATATATATATATATATATATATATATATATATATATATATATATATATATATATATATATATATATATATATATATATATATATATATATATATATATATATATATATATATATATATATATAATATATATATATATATATATATTTATATATATATATATATATATATATATATATATATAATATATATATATATATATATATATATATATATATATATATATATATATATATATATAATATATATATATATATAATATATATATATATATAATATATATATATATATATATATATATATATATATATATATATATATAATATATATATATATATATATATATATATATATATATATATATATATATATATATATATATATATATATATATATATATATATATATAATATATATATATAAACTTAATAAATTTTTAATAATTGTATTAATTATTACTAAAAAACTTTATATTTAATAAAGCACTTGAGTGGACATCAGTGTCATTTTAAATAAAGAAATTAACATCTACCGCTCTAGCCAAGTGAAAGCCCTATTTATTAAATGCCGAGAGTCACATTTACTTTAATAAAACTACCGATTTTTAGGCCGTTATATGTAAATATCAATATTTGAAAAAAAAATAGACAAAGTTCGAGAAGGCGACACTTATGGCACCCATATTTTCAATCAAGGAAATTACTTTTAAGCTAAGTGTGTCTAACTAATTAGGCTACAGGAAGCCATCAGGCAAAGCATGGAACAATAACCTAGTGGGTTATAGCGTTAATTCGAGAATTTGGTGACATAGTAATTATGATTTTAATCCATGGACCGGGTAGTACAGACACAATGGCAACGGGAATAGCCATAACTGAGCAGTACTAAATAAGAACAATAGATTGAGAGCGGAACGAGAACAGTGTACACTCGTAGATTAAATAAAGTGTTCTGTTTAACATTCCCTGAAGGTTACGCGGGTCGGCAGATATCTGAAGAAGGCTGGATGGCACAACGGTTGAAACGTTGTGATTATAACTACTAAGAAATTAGCCCGAATGTAAATAATAACTCTTCAACCTAGAAATTCAGAAACAAATAGATTATGGGTTTTTGTTGTTTCAAATTGAACAGAAAAAAAAACCTCTAGAGTTAAATCCTATGATCACGTTGTCTTGTCTCATAGTGACCAGACTACACGTCAAATATGCACTTCTGAAATATACGTTTACTACCACTTCAACATTCTAAATAGTCTATAATGCTACTTTCACAGAGCCGAATTACCTTTATTTCCACCGTTCCAAATGTAAGAATAAAGTTCCACTTGAAATTTTCCTAAGAACGGCTACTTAGTGGAACAGGCTCCCGCGGGAATACTTCTTTGAATACTACAATCTTGACATCATCAATCAATTGTTATCTGTTCTTCTAATCCTCATAATTTCCACTTCCGACCACTTTCTCTTCAACTCATATCTCAACACCTCATTCATCATTACTATTTCAAACCTAGTCGCTACTTTGAGTGGCCCTTGAGCCTTGTATTAGGTAATATTTAGTAAAAACAATTATCAATGCAGTCAACAAATTTCCACTCAAGATACTGCGAAGCATATAAATTTCTTTCTTTCAGAACAGGTACACAGTCACCAACGCAGTTGATCATGGCTCTCCACACTTTCCTTCGTAGCTTTTAAATTTTGTCTTTTACTTATTTCTCCGAAAACTTGTTCACGCTCACAAAGTAGGTTATGCGTCCTGGCTTCAATCTGTCTTGGGAGGATCTGATTTTCCAAGCCCTCTTTCCTCATTATGTGCACTAGAAATTTCAATTGTCTCTTTCTGGTGCTAAGTATAAGTTTCCGTTTTGTTTCTATTTTCTCTAAAACTTCGTCGTTGCTCACATATTCGGTACATCCTTCTGTAGAACCACATTTCTGTTGCTTCAAGTCTCTTCTTCATCTTTAAGGAGATTGTCCAACATTCACTGCCATAGAGGAGGACATATATCACATAACAATTCAATACTCTTTACTTTGTCTCTTACAAAGTTCTCCTGTTTCTTCGTAATCTACTTATTCTGTCATAATGTTATGGTGAAACACACCTATTCTATAGTTAATAGACTCTCCCATCTAATATAAGTAGGAGGATTAATAGAAGCGATGGTCGATCGATGTCGGACGACAGTTGGTCGAATACGAAAGTGGTCAGCGACCACAAGATTGCTCTGCGTAGTGCCTGTTATATCAGTTTCCAAACGTTTTGTACACGAACCTATTTTAGGACCGATTTAGTACAAATACAAGCCTCCACTGCAAAATCACTCCACAACACATAAACACTTTAGACTTCATAAGCCAGATGAGATTCTAACAAAATCTCGTATAGGTATTTTCCCGAACACCCACTTGAATGGAATGTCGTACCAGACTAGGTTTGAAGTAGGATTAGGAGAAAAAATTAGGCCCCTCCCCCATGTACCATTTGGGGAAAAATCAAACGTTAGTGATGCTTTTTCTTCTCTCCCTCTAGCCTTTAATATTTCCAGTGAGTGTCGAATTTTCTAAGCCTTCTTTCCTGTGTCCTAGAAATTTCAACTGTCTCTTCCTGATGTAAAGTATAAGTTTGCTTTTTCTTTCTATTTTCTCTAAAACGTCGTCGTTGCTCACATATTTGGTACATGGTATCCCCAGCATCTTTCTGTAGAACCACATTTCTGTTGCTTCAAGTCTCTTCATATTTGAAGAGATTGCCCAGCATTCACTGCCATATAGGAAGACAGTTATCATGTAACAGTTTAGTATTTTTTTTCTTTGTTACTAACGATTTTTTTTCTGTTTCTTAATAGTTTAAGGTTTTAAAAGTTATTTTTGGCTGTCCTGATGCGCCTTCGGATTTGCATATCGCATTTCTCTTCCTCTGTTAAAATACTTCTCAAATATTTAAATTTTTGTACTTTTTTGATTTTGGTATCTCCAACTTGTAATTTCATGTTGGACTGACCCTTTTGCTAGCAAACATGCAGTCTCTCTTGTCGCTTTCTTTCACCGCTTTCTGTAAGAGCTGTTTTTTTTATAATTTTCTTTCCGTGTCTACTATCAACACTGTCTCATCTACATATCTTCTGTTGGGAAGATTGTAGCCGCCAATAATGAATTCTGGTAGGATTTCTAATTCTTTCAATATCTCCTTATTGTGTAGGTGAAATAACCCTGGTGAAAAGACACCTTTCTATTTTTGTATCTTTACTGAATCCATTTTCTATCCGTATGCCAACTGTCAATATAGGTTCTGGATTATTCTAATATCCTTCCCAAATATGCCAAAGTTGCTGAGCAGTTCCAACATGTCTTAATCCAAAAATTGTTGGTCCGCATTGGCATTTTCACAAATGTTACCGTCAATTAACATTTCATTCCTATCATCTCCAAATCACTCGGCTGGTTTACGTGTCTGAACAAGTCCAAAAGAAAACTTATCGTTGTAACATCTTAACGGACCAACAGGCTGAATAAAGGCTTCAACATGAGGTGATTCAAAGTCTATATTTCTTGTGTGCAATTACTTATCTCATTTGCCGGCTTACTGCATAAAGTATTTATTTTGTCTATATCCAGTGATGCAAACTATTTTTGTATGTGAAGGCAGTCGCTAAAGCAATCTCGTTACCTTGCCCTTTGCAGCTAATATCAAATTATATCTCTGCCTCTACTGTTTCGGAGGACATATTTTTTTCTTTGAGATTTCTCGGACATTCAAGCCGGTAAATGTAATATATGATGTCATTTGTTTACGTTAAGATACGCTTCGAGCAGATATGCGCGTTTGAGAGAAATCATGGGAAGTTTGTGGTTTAAAAACGGTATTTTAACCTTGCTAAACAGACGCAAGGTATAGCACGTCAGGCTATATGACGTATTCCGTATACGATGCAGGTTCAATTCCTGTCGGAGGAGACATATTTTCTTTAAGATTTCTTGGACATTCAGGCCGGGTAATGTTGTTAATCTGTTTATTATAAACAGAGAATTTACTTAAATATTTGTATCTCTAAAAATAACGTGTGTGTGTGTGTATATATATATATATATATATAAAGAATATGGTACGCTAAAACAATCCTTTACCGTGGTATTGCTAGACAATAATTTTTTTAATCAACCGGTTTTTTTTTTTAAGTACAGTACTTAATATTGGGCCATAGAACATTATTATTAATAATAATAATGAATAAAATTATTACGTATCTCTACGTTATAAAATTTTTTTAAACAAAATATGATACGTAAAACTAAATCCTAGTTTTATCACCTGATGAATGGATTTCAAGGTCTAAGAAAATGTACAAAGATAAGCAATCATGTATATGTATATATATATATATATATATATATATAATATGTATATGCACGCGCCTTGTGGGGGAGTAATGTTCCCCCACTACTTCAAACGAAGAAGCCCCAATAATAAAAGATCAGTAACAGTTACTGAACCTATTTTCCAGAAAAATTGTTTCAATAGAAAAATTTTATAGATTTCAACTGGTAACACTGGCTACTCGGTCAATGAATGACGAATGTTGCCTTATAAGAAAACGACTAATATTGCAATTACTGTGTGTGATGTCAAATCACTGTCAGTTTGTTAAAATATCGGTTAATTAGTTGGCGGTGCTTAATATACGTGGAGTGCATATCCCATAGAGAGGTTAATTTCAGAGTAGATGTTTGTAGAATTAAGTATAAACTTAACAAATGTCTACCCTTTTGACCTGTGTAAACCGGAACTATATCAATCTATTAGAATCCCTGTGCTTTTCGCCTTATGAGACTTGATATGTCGTTAAATTAAACAAACCTAAACTAATCATCTAAACGTAGGTAATCTCCTTACTTACCCTTCTTAGCTTGGAGCAGATCCAACAATTTCTTTGCTTGGTTCAAAATATCACTTTTCACGTGCTTTTTTGAACAAATAATAGCCGATTTTAGGAGGTCAATATCACGTTTCATAATGGCATGCTCAAGTTGCTGCACTAGACGGACGTCAGAAAATTCGTTTTCCTTTGTTTTTTCAGTTTCATCTTCACAAAGCGGTTCTTGTTTCTTCATCGTGTTCGACTTTGAGATTTTCTCTTCTGGCTCGAAACTCTTTTGCGTGTTGTCTGCCGTTCCTAGTGCATCTTTCATTTTCACTGGTTCATCTGTTTTCGACTGTTGATCTCTTTTAATCGGATCAGCAGACTTCTCGACACCAACCGACGCTACAGACCGATTATTATACGTAGATATCGAAGGACGTTTCGGCTGATGAAGTGCAGCGTTTTTATCCTCTGGGAATTCCTTGGTTTTCTTCTCTACGTCCTTCTGTACACGTGTAATAAGATTAAGTGGACTATTGTTAATATTTGGTAACTTGGTTTCGATTCTTTCAGTTTCCTTTACCTTCATTTCATCAGTTTGGTTTAACGTATCTTTTGTTTGTCTGATTAAAGTTTCTGATTTATTTTCGAGAGTTTTTCCTTTTATCTCGACTGCGATCTCCTTTTGACTTAACCCTTCCTGGCTTTTAACACGCTTAACTTGGCATTCCTTTTGGTTATTGCTTCTGTCTCCAACATCTATTTTCTCTCTAACTTGTCTTCGTCTCAACAAATAACGAGTGACGCTCTTAATTAGTCCAGTTGCGTTATCCTTTTCTAACAGACTTAAAAGATAGTCTCCGATTTGGGGTAAGGTTGCTTGAATATAAGATACGTCTTCCTGTGAATAAATAAAATCAATAGGTTACATTTATAGCATAAAATTTGTCCGCAATGCCTGACTGACATCTTACTAAAATAGAGGCTACTCTTTTGCGTTTAAAAGACATCATTGATTTGATCAATTATTGCAGTCGCTGTTAACTTCTAATAGAAACAAAGTATCAAATTTAATCGTATACAATGTAATTGAAAATATATTCGTTTTCTTTTAACAAAGAGAATATAAAAGTTATAAGGCCAATAAATTCGTAGCCAGACAGATATTTAGCTGGATTTTTTTTTTATTTCGAAGTTGTATAAGGTTTTATCTTAAATGCATTGACCAGAGACATGTTGAATTTTTGTTTTCTAAAATAAATATTTTTTCTTAACTTTAGGCTATGGACATACTGATGTATCGACATAAGGACTTGTGTCTGCTTATAGCCATACATAACTTTGACAATATTTTACAAACATCATTACGAAATGTTTAACACTGCGTTAGTTCCCTCGGATTTCCAAAAATGGATAGGCCCCTGGTGTTAACATATTAATGACTACCGTCCCAAAAAGCAGTCTGCATTTATGACTTAGTGGTGGTTGTTACTGCTTTAACGATGGTCTTTAATGCGCTATTGGTAGAAACCCATTTTGGGAACAGTGGATATTAATGGCTTAATCATAATGAAAAGTTTTCATCTAGAAAGTTAAGACTATGATGTCTACTGCTAATAGGTTTAGTCAGATCGTCTTAATGATTACTTCTATAATCGAGTCCGATGTCTTACATTTAGAAAATGAGCCAATCTTGGTTGAATTTAAAAACTGCTATGCAGTAATGCTTAGAAAGATTTGTAGAAAATATCGTCAAATAGGAAAACATACACCGAGATAGATAGATAGATAGAGAAACATACACCAACTGAGATAGATAGATAGATATACACCAACTGAGATAGATAGATAGATATACACCAACTGAGATAGATAGATAGATATACACCAACTGGGATAGATATACACACACCAACTGAGATAGATAGATAGACAGACATACACCGACTGAAATAGTTGCATCGTCAGATAAAAAGTTTTAGTTAGTTGATTTTGTTTAGCGGGATATAAACCGCTAATGCCGAAATCAAAATATTTTGATCACAATTTTATGGATTCAACAAAATATAAACTATAAGTAGGTATTCTTGGTATTTTTTATATAAAAATGTATTTTTAGACATTGATAATTTTTTGTTTTTGTTTGGGTATTCACTATTTGCTCATAGCTATCAACCCTGGTCAGGGTGAACTTGGGAACAGCAATTCAGAGGTGCTTATACGCTCCTCAAAATCTTCCGATCAGAGGTCTTGCTACCGGATGTAGTTTATCGTCGTACCCAGGACTAAAAACGGAAAGACATACACTGACTGAGATAGATATATCACGTGTCAGATAGAAATATAAAAGCACATACATAGATAGATAGACAAATAGATAAGAAATAAATAGGAGTTTCAATTAATATTCCATACCACGTTAAAAATGTTGATAAGATGGCTACATAAGGCTGCCTCGTTTTGAGATTGAAAAACCGCTAAAGTCTCGTCCGTAACATCGTTTTGGGCAATATTGATAACTGATTCGTAAGTTTCGAATGTCCCCAAAATGTGGACTGAAGCCGATTGTCTTCTGTCAACCGAACGAATTGAAAATTGGTCTGGATTTATTTTCTGTATGCTGTAGGAATGAAGTTCATAAAACTGACCAGCGCCGTCTCCTACAAGTTCCACATCTCCGAACGTCGTAAAGATCTTCAAAGTGTAATCACCACAAGTCGGAATGGTGACATTAAATTGACATTCTTTGGTGGCCATATCATGCAAAACGGAAGTTTTCTTGCTGCCATTAGCGCTGGCATCGTGTGCGATCAGCTTGCAACTAAGTTGATACTTCGAACGGAAAAGAATCTTTAAAGTGTCCAAATTGGTCTGAATAAATGAGCCTGGATGGGACAAAACGACAACCTTCTTTTCCTCAGTATCCTTGGTAGCGGAGCCTTCAAGCATCGACGAGGAGGTTTCAGTGTCTTCCTTATATCTGTAATTATATATATATATATATATATATATATAAAAGATAAAAATTAAAAAAAAACAGAAACAGTCAATTTAAGACAGCAAAATTTATGGAAAAAAGTTAATTCAGAACTTAAAGGCGGCCAAAGACGGACATTAAGCTCGATGCCGGGTTTCTTCTTATTTATCAAATATGTATTATAATTGTTTACAGATAAATAAGGGGAGACTACTCTGTAATTTTGCCAAACTCCATCTAATCTCTAATCAGTAGAAGTCTAGTGTTAAATGCTCTATGAACATACATGTTAACGATTTTGAGCGATTCTGCTTTATGAACATACATGTTAACGATTCTGATTCTTGACGAACCGTGTACTAATCCCAGTCGACTTAATTACATTCACTTTCATGCAAATACCTTTGGGTATGAAAGGGTATGAATCCATCTCTTCTCGCTCCCCAGCTATAAGTTAAATAGTCAGGCAAAGGTTCAGACTTGATTGAAGAAGAGTCGTGTATGAGAAGGACGAATCTGAATTCAAAACAGGTTGGACATGGGGGCGAGCAACTCCTTAGCTTATTACGGAAAACATAGCAACAACGCCTGGTGTCTTGAGGCTGTACCCACCCCATACTATACGGCTGGAGTGTACAGGGCTTGAGAAAAAGAAAGATAGGGTGAGTTTTATCCTACAGTAAATAAACCGTTAAAAAATTGATTAAACAGAATGTTTCCAAAGAAAATATATGAATTAAACTGCATTGTTTGAACCTTACCTTAAAAAAGCGATTTGATTCATCTTTCAAAATCTATAAGACATTTATATCTGAGATAAAATATTGTTCTCTAATCTGGATATGTACTAATTAGAGCTTAATACGATATAAGGTCAAATTTAGAACATTAACTAAAAGTTAGACAAAGACCACCCCCCTTCCCAACCTCCCCATCAGTCTCCTCAGTAAGGTTTTTGAGGCTGTAATCAACAAAAATTTCGATCATCTAGATAAGAATAAATCGACACTAAATATAGGCACTTGACACGGTGTGTACAGCTATAGAATCACTGGGATGGTCGTCTCAATTATAAAGTTCTTCCTAACGGGTTGCTCCCTGAAGATAGTTGTTGACGGCTAGTCTGGAGGTCAACGCATCCGTCCTACAGGGGTCACTTCTCGGACGAAAACATTTTTTGCTTTACATAAGTGATATGCCTAAGAACATACTCAGATCATACGTGAAATCTGTGCCGATGATACGACGATATACGGGCTCACCTCTAAAATTCTTGATCAGAGATTGGCAGCTCATCTCTCATCCAATTTAGCACTAACTTCTCGGTGAGACAAAAACTGGCAGGTGCATTCAATGCCTCGAAAACCAAACTAGTTACATTCCGTCATAGCCGATCGGGCCCCAAACTATCGCTTGTCTCGATAAATGGATGTTCGCTCGAGAAGGTTCTGTGCCTTGAGTAAATATCGGGTTTTAAACACACACCTAACCTCGTGAAATTCGTACATACGATCCATTGAAAAAGATGAAGGAGAAATAGTTGCCCCCCTTCCTGTACCGCTCCAGTGAGTACCTCACTCCGCATGCTATTCTCTAACTTTACAAGAGCCAGATCAGACCTAAAATGGGGTACTGTTGTCATATTTGGGCGGGAGCTACCCAGTCCTCAGTTTCGATAGCCTCTTCGAGTCCTTGTGGGTGACAAATTAATTTCCACCCTCCAACCCCATTCACACAGACGGGATGTGGGAAGCCTCTAGCTGTTCTATCACTACTTTCCATGGAAAGTCCTCGAAAGAACTACTACCAATTCTATCACAGACATTGTAAGAAATCACTTGCATACCCTACGTATTCCATTGTTCCACTCAAGCAGCTTCGTCCCTTGATCCACTGCTCTGTGGAACTGACTCCCAAGAGAACGTTTCCGTGATTAAGTTGTTCAAGTTTAGAGTTGACCGTTATCTTTCCCTCCTATCCTCATAAACTGCCTCTTACTGTAATTCTCTACCAGGTTGAAACTGATTGTAAAAAAATCAACCAGGACAGGATTATGAAGAGTTTTCTTGCCTAAAATATCGGAATATTAGATCCTACATTTTGCTTTGGTAATAGCAACAACTATTAAATCAAGCGAATCGAACTGCTGTTTTGTCGGGTCGAACCATCTTTTTTCATGTACGATGTCACTTCAGAACATGAGAGATCGTTGTTCTCCACAACTTCCATCTGTAAGAAATGTTTGTCTCCTTACTACGCTCCTAGTTCTTCGCTTTTTCCCTTTTCCCATTTTGTCTTCAGTATGTACTGTAAGTGTCAAATAACCTAAGCCTCCTTTCCTTATATGCCCTAGAAATGTAAAGGGTCTCTTTCTGATTTTAAATATGTTTCCTTTTTGTTTCTATATTCCTTAAAACATATCGTCTCGCGTCACCTCTTACTTTAAGAAATTGTCCAGCATTCACTGCCATATAAAAGGATTGATATTACATAGCAGTCCCATCATCTTTTCTCTGTTTGTAACGAAATTTTCATGTTTCTTAGTGTTTTTGTTTTGGAAGACATGAGGAAATTGTCCAACATTCGCTATCATATAGTGATTTTCCAAGCATAGCTTAGATGTGGCACAAGGCGGAAATTAGGGAGCACCCAGTGAGAATCGAACTCAATACTCAGTCGTAATTGTTCTAGCGAGACAAGCTTGCTAACCATTACACCATCTCGAGGTGCCCACATTCGCTATCATATATATTACATAGCAATTCAGCAATCTTTTCTTTGTTACTAACAAAATTTTCATTTTTCTTAATGTTTTGTTTTGCCTTAGGAAGATATGAGGAGATTGTTCAGAATTCACTGCCATACTGATATTATGTAAAAGTTCCGCACTTTTTTTTTTCTTCGTTTCTAACAAAAGCTTTCTGTTACTTAATTCTTTGTTTAACTTTTGGGAGGAAGGATTTCGCTATCCCAGTGTCACTTCGGATTACGATGTCACATTTTATCGGCTGTTAAAACGCTTCTCGGATAGTTGAATTTCTTGTTCGATTTTGATGTTTTTCACTTTTTATCATTTTCGGTGGGCTCAAATAGATTTTTTAGACGGCAGACAGGCACAGTTAAATTTTTTTAAAAAATGACCATGGAGAAAAACAAAACAGGTGAAACTGCAGAGGTATTCCATCTTAGAATTTCAATAAAACACGAAAGAAACACAGTGTATAGGCAAATATCACATTGGAACAAAAGTGTATAGTGCTTTTTAAATAGGCGGTGTTTTTAACGTGACTTCGTTCCATCCGTGATTGACCTATATACGTATTGTGAAAGATGTCATTTCAATACTCCCTACAATGTGTGGGTTGTGAATTTTAAAATGTTATTACGCTGTGATAATAGAGCAAATTGAAATAATGGAAAATGTGCCGATAGCTGATAATACTGTTCGAAAGTAGTTTCCTAGATTCAGCAGTGGGAATTTTAACCGGGAAGACTACAGACAGGATGGAAGTAGTTGATAAGCTCGAAAAACTTAATCCAGATGACATGAAACCGGACATCGCAGAGATACTCCTAATGGGTGATCGGTGAAAGAAAGAAATATTCTCCCAGTTTTTAGCCCCCAGCCCATTAAAGGCATTATTATATCCATGAAATAATAAAATCTTAATATACAGACGGAACTGAATAGCTGGAAGAAAAGGAATGACAAATATGCTTTGCTCTCAAAGAGTTTTATGCCGATAAATTATACCTAAAATTACATATAAATATTTCCGCGTGTCCTGCGCAGAGACACTATAACACATATCTACACAACAAGCAGTGTGAAAAAGAACGAAAAGATAGGGTCTGACTTATAATAATTACCAACGACAACTGGAGCTGCCAGAGTTTCTTCTGTGTTTCTGGAGAAGCCATATTTAGGATTCCAGGTTCGAGCTGGCCGGATTTATCTCCTATGTCATTAGGGAGGACATTTCCTCTCAAAATAGGAAACGACGAGTCATGAGTTTTTTCCCAACATGAGGACTGCGAACCGGACATAGTTTCTATATCTGGGGAAGATATATTTCCATAAGAAAATGTCGCTATGTGCTTGTACCACGCGGTTTTTTTAAAAAAAATAGTGGGGAGGCACTGCTCGGTTTTACTCCTAGAAACCGACGATATTTAGGCATCATGTGGCACAAGGCCGGTTTAACGTGGGATCTCCAAGCCCCTGGGCTCGGCCAAAATATGCCCATTAAACCCGTATAAACGGGGTTCAGGGTCGAGCACCTCCCGAAAGAGAATCCGCCCTTCGGCGTAGCCTCTTTCGGGTTCCTCCCGTCCGAAGGCAGAGTTCAACCGATCAGCCAGTCGACTGACTGATCGACCACTTTCGTCAATCTATAGAGTGACGTCACTAAGCGGTAGTCACGTAACCCAAGTAACATCATCTCTACCAAAAGGAGGTAATGGCCTTTTTTTTTTTTTTATCCCTACATCACACATATAACAATGTAAAGCATTTGGAAACACTTAACATTTGAAATCGCTACGATGGTTGGGCGTCTCACAAATTTAATAAATGGCATTTCCACCTGCCTTTCCCTGCTCAAACAAAAATGACCAATTTTTTAATTGATTGAGTTTTTTTTTTTTTTTTTTTTGAGTTTATAAACATTTCGAGGTTAATTCAAACCAGAACAGATTATTTAGATTGTAAAAAATTTTCGGAGATAATAATGATTTTTTGAGACAAATTTTATCCATACCTGCGAGAAGTGGTGGATTCATACGTTTCGCATGCTATTTTCACGTGAAAGAATATAACGAACCCAACTGGAATTCGAACTCGGCTCTCCGATTTCTCATTCTTTTAGCTATTACACCACACGCACATCTAAGCTTAGAGCACCGAATGGCCACCCATCTAGGCACTGACTAGATTCAACGTTGCTTAACTTCGGTGATCACACGTGAACTGGTGTTTCAAGGTGATATGGCTGTAAGCCCCAATTTTTTTTAACGAATGATCGCAGGCAATTAAGACTCGGTAGTGTCCTGCTACACTTGCCAAACTCACCTAAGGTTGCGCCTTCGCATTACATTTCGACCCCAACAAAATTCTCCTAATAGGAAGAACTTCTGTGAGTTTGTAAAGACCATATAGAGAGATTCTTCACCCAGAGACATGCCACTTTGTAGAAAATGGAACAATGAAAGGGTCTCAAAGGCGACAAAAGGTCGTGGAAGAAAGTGGAATATCTGCGGTTGAATAAATCTACGTACAAATATTGTCTTTGATTCGTTTTCTAAGGCTTATCAACTATTTACAGCTTATTCGAATCAAGATAATATTTTTAGATTGGAAGAATATTTTTTGAGATAATGATTTAGTGTTACAAGTCCACTTAACTAACCCATGAGGAGAGAATAAGCGGTGTCATACCTTCTCTAATGGTATTTGCGCGTAAGTAAATATAATAAACTTAACCGGAATTAGAACTCGGCTCTCCGATAAACAATTATGAGCCATTATTCATTGCACCACCAGCACAGCCAAGTTTACATGATCTGGTATTCCCAAGAGTCGACCCATCTAGGCTCGACGTTGCTTAATTTCGCTGATCATACTGGAACCAATGTTTCAACATGATATGGCCATAAGAAAATATTGTCTTTGAAATTAACTTTAAAAATGCTATGAATTTGTGTTCCTTCCTTAATATTTAATGTGGGTGTCTGCATCTAAACAGAAGGGAAATTACACGGTGAAATAACATTTTTGTGACGTCCAATGAAATTTCTAGTTGAAACAAAAGATAGTTCCGGGCCTCTTGTTATGAGGGCACACTGTCCATCGAGTGAGGGTAGCGAAGCCGCACGTGGTGATGTAGAGATGAGCCGAGAGATTGTAGGAAAGAATCAGAATTCTTGCTGTTTAAAAGGAAAAGCTGGTAGGTTAGACTGACAGGGCAAAAGTTCTCCCAAGTGTCATCTACCTACCCCCACCCAGACGATGCAAGTGAATCCTTGAAATAAACAATTGAATATATGGGGGAACAGGATTCGAGTTTATGTTGCGTTTATTTTCACTGTTCGTTTCCTTGTTAACACAGACGCGAACAGGAATAGAGATGCAACATGGGGTTATTTGTCTGATCGTTGAAAAGCTGGGGATTTGATTGATTTTACATATATATATATATATATATATATATATATATATATATATATATATATATATATATATTATCAACCTTTTGCAGATTATTGTAAAGCCAGAAAATATTTTCCCAAAGGTTATTTGCACATAAGTGAATATAACGCACTCGACTGAAATTGGAACTCGGGTCGCCGATTTCTTACTTTGTACCGTTACCCATTATACCACCCACACATTCCATCTTACAGCACCTGGTATTACCAAGCAGGTCACCGGTACTGGCCAGGATCGACGTTGCTTAACTTCGGTGATCGAGCTTGATGTGACCGTAAGTCAGTAATATGTTGCGTCTGTATTTAACACGAAGAGGACCTGCCTTGAAAATCATCATTCAATATTTTGGCTTGTATCCAGATTCGAACATGGATCACTATCTCTCACTAAATGGACCTCGCAACGAAGTTTACGAAGTCAATGAGCACCTGGCATTACTGACCAGCGTCGACGTTGCAATGTGATGTGGCCGTAAGCCATATACAGCGGCACATCCAAGCTTACAACACCTGGTATTACCAGCCGGTCACCTGTCTAGGTTCTTGATGTTGCTTAACTTCAATGACCGTGCGATTGGATGACCGTAAGCGAAAAGCTGAGAGAAGTTTTTGTTGCATTTTGTCATACTTACATTATACAGTAGTCGCAGAGAGTTTCATGTTCTGTATCTTTCTTTGCATAAAGACTGAGAAAGTAATTTCCCGGCTCGGGTAGTCTTAGTTCAATTATCATTGTCAGGAATTCGGATTCGTCGTCTTCATCGATCATGCGCAGTAGGCTGCATCCTTTCAATACATTTCCTCTGCTAGTCAATGAGTGCGTAAGGGTAACGTCTTTTTTGATCGGGAATGGTAATTTGATGCGGCTTTTGTTCGTTTTGATTTTTTTCTTTAAGGGATTAAAATCAGAACCGTAACCCTGGAAGAATTTCCACGGTAATTCCGGACGTTTTTCGGTAGAGGAACATTTGATAATATAAGAACAAATCTGAAAGAAGTCAAAAAAAAAAAATGATGTCTCAGAACTTCTACAAATCAAAAAAAGAAAGCATTAACACTTTAGCTACCAACTACAATTCTTATCGTCTTAACCCTTTGATTCCTGACCACCGCTTTACCGGTAGTAGAGAAAAAATGACGTAATGCCCAGCCGCCGGTTGAACGGTGGGTAAACACTTGTAACTATTTTTATATCTACCATGAAACATTATTTGCGAATTTTGACTCAGGATCTCAGGTAGAAGGATTAAAATTGTTCAGGAATGCAGAGATCAAAGGGTTAATATAAATATAATCTGAGCCTCGTGACATTATTATAGTGATTTTTCCAAGTATAGCTTGGATGTGGCACAAGGCCGAAAGTAAGGGGCGCCCAATGAGGATTGAACTCACTACTCAGTCGTAATTATTCTAGCGAGACAAGATTGCTAAGCATTACACCACCCCAAGGTGACCCTCGTGACAGTATTATATGACCTGACTGATTGGTTGGTTTTTGTTCAGCGGTATATCAACGTCTATGGCTCTAAGTATATATATATATATATATATATATATAGAGAGAGAGAGAGAGAGACTTATAGACTATCTAAAATATTTTGTACGCAACTTTATTTTATTTTTGGAGTTAATAATGGTTTAGTGATACAAGTCTTACTAATTAACCCATAGCTGGAGGGAGAAGAGGTTGATTGGTACATTTCCAAAACGTATTTGCGCATAAGGGAATATAACAAACCCAACGGGGATTGGAACTCGGCTCTCCGATTAAGAATTATGAGTCATTATCCATTACACCATCCGCACATCCAAGCTTACAGCACCTGGTATTACAATCTAGGTACTGTCCAGTCTCGACGTTGCTAAACTTCGGTGATCGTATGCGATCCTGTCTTTCAACACGTTGTGGCCGTATGCCACTATTATGTTGCGTCAATATTTTTAAACGAAATGGTCCTGCCTAGAAAATCATCATTCAAATTTTGGGCTTGTATACAGATTTGAACATTCTCACGAAACGGAACTCCTCCACAGTCCAGATGTTCAGGTAGTGTAACGGATATCGACACGGAAAGTGGAATCGGCTGGGCGAGCTAATCTTTTGCATTCACTTTCGCACTGATGTCTTTAGAAAGGTCATGAACCTGTCTCCTCCTATCCGCAGCCGGGAGTTTAAATAGTCTTGCATTGCAACCAGCCTAAGAGAAAGGAAAAACCACATAGATAAACCACTCCACTACCTTTCCCAAGAATGCATGGCATTTCACAAATCATAAATAAAAGTAAAAGTAAAATTTCTGGGGAGTCATTATCGTCTGTATCCGGAAGAGACATGTCATTAAAGAGATAACAGCTATTTCAACGCGTATGATTCTATTAGAGATTTCGAGCAGACGTGTAACCCTTGAAAATGTGCATGCTGTATTTACTCATTTTAGTATAACACAAAACCTACTGGGGAAAAAATAAGAAGGAAAATTGTCTAACGCCAGTATTGCAAATGCTGATATTCGAAATTGTTTTATCTCTGGTTTCGAACACTACAAAATTGGAAATATAGGACTGATTCACTGAGACACACACATAACGAGATTTACTAAACTTAGGCTAGTAGGGATAAGTGGGGAGAATATGTTGCGCCAATTTTCAAAGTGTAGTTGTTATATGTGTTAATATTAATGTGGTAATGTATGCAGTGATGATACTGTTCAATCTCAAAAGCTATTGTCCGTCTCACACCGCATTTTGTGACAAAATACTGTGTTAAAGATGGCGTTGTATTATGAGATAAATTGCAAATGACACAGGATTAATTAGATAGGTAGACATAAAGTAAGAACTTTATATTAAATTTGCAAATAGATAAATGAATATGTACAGATTGAGAAAGAAAGGATGGTAACAAAGAACTTTCGATAGATATGTACAGACTGAGAAGGAAAGAAAGAAACTTAGATATATACAGATAGATAAATAAACAGAGATTAAGAAAGGTAGAAGTAGAAAGTAATGTACAAAGATTTTTACTTTGTACAGCTTAGGAAAGAACGAAGATTAGATAAATATGTAATGATATGAAAAGATTGCGAAATATATATATATGATTAGGTTTCGCTCAAAACAAAAAAAATCCTTTTAACTACTGTATATCGGGGATAATTTTTTTTTTTTTTTTTTTTTGGAAGCCATCTTTGTAATTAAAGTTCACAGTATCAAGAGACGGCGCATTTATATTAAGACATGAAATTAAATGTTCAATTTATCTTTCGCGATTCTATTCTATGCACTCGTCAGGTTGTTTGATAGTAAAATTGAATTTATTTAGAGATATCATATACTTCTTAGACAGCATTACTTTATTTTCTTTTTCTTTTTCAAATTTTAAAAAGTAGACGTATTTTTTAGATAATTTAGCAACCACTTTTAAGAAACATATGGTAATATTAGCCGGTTCCTAAGAGTGTTTCTCTGCATATGTTCATAAAAAGTAGAATGAGTCTAGGAGCGAAGAATCTTTGGAGAAGCGTCATTGATCTCATGAGCTTCAGAAGACTTCCCATTTGCAACGGCCTTCATAGATGAAGAGAATAAATCTGATAATTTTGTAAACACTTTTAAAGATGTCATAGAGAGTTTCGATAGTAAATCCCTCTGCCACACATTGTCAAAAACCTAATTGAGATTCAAGTTCTGAAAGAAACGCCTTAAAGTGATATCTTGGATCGATCTCCCCGGTGTGAGGTACTAATCAACGATTTTTGTAAAATTAGTACACTTCTGTCCCAAAACTTAAAACTAATATTTGTTTCCATTGTCTGGGAAATATTGTCTAAAAAAATCAAGATTGGCTTGAATTTTTAGTACACAATTTTTACATTTTGAAAATGGCGAGCATTTGCTTTATTATAAAACAACTCATAGAGAAAATATTTTCTTACCAAATAAAAGTCGCAGTTTTCCTTCTTACTTCCAAATATATCCAACTTGTAAGTTCCTTCAGACATCAAATGTAAAGTAAGAAAAAATCGGTTGTCTTTTACTTCGTATTTTCCCAGTTGTAGTAACTTTTGGTGTTTATCTGAGAACCAAGACGACCAGTGATGTGATAGTGTGTATTTAAAGCGGTAGGTACAACTGCAGTTAGGTGGCAAAGCGAATTCAATTTGGATTTCACGAGATTTCCCAACAAGCAAGACGCAATCTTCATGACTTTGCTTCGTCAATGACATACCGAGAAGATAAAACTGTTCCCGCACGTAAAAATGGTTCAGGAACATTTCAAGTGTGATGGGATTATCGAGCAACTGCCATTGCCTTCTGTTCGGGAAGTGGGTCCAGATGAATTCGTCTGGATCTGTGAGGAAATAATAATCATTGACACGATGAAAATATTCTTTTTTTGTCTTTGGTTTCGGTGGGATTGGGTAATTGTTGTAATCTTTGTGTTGATCAGAAGCTGTGTTTTCTCCGGAAGTGAATTCGTTTTCGGTCACAAGAAGAACTTTTTTCCAGTCATTTGGACCATTTGCAAAGAGACAGGCCCACTGGATACTCGCGAAACGCCAGTCACCTTTCACGAAAACTGCATTCCACTGAGCCGCCATGTCGGCAGTGACGAAAGGAAAACCAATCTCGTAAGCGCTATTTTTTGTAAAACCACTAATAATGATGCAAGGGATATCAGCATGCCTACAAAACAAAGGGAATGAAATATTACTTGTTTTTCTTGGTTAAATATGAAAACGAATATCATAAGTATCTATTGTTCTTAGCAGTAGATTACTAGTCTAGATCAAATACACTATAGTTTACCAAGAGGTGATAGGTTCGCCTGTTGCCCGGTTCAAACTCCTCCCTTGTTTATTGAAAAGGAGTAGGTGTTTATCCCTTGTTTATGATTAGGTTTCCGGTTCCTTCTAAAGTCTTTTCGTTCTGTTTAACTCCCAGTGATCCCCTGCGGCTGAGTGGTTTTGTTGCCTTGCTTGGGGTAAAAGGATTAAAAGAAAAAAAGATGTAAGTGGACGGGAAAACGCAACAGCGAAATCGAAGGCGAATTAAAATAACGAAAGATGCCTTCCAAAATCTAAACGAAGTATTAAGAGACAGGAAAATTTCCCTAGAACAAAAGTAACAATGTTAAACTGTTATGTATTATCATTCCGCCTATATGGCAGCAAATGCTGGACAATCTCCACACAGATGAAGAATGACTTGAAGAAACAGAAATGTGGTCCTACAGAAGGATGTTGAGAACACCATGGAAGGAACATTATTGTAACGAGGAAGTTTTAAGGAAAATGAAAACAAAAAAGGGCATTTATACTTAGAATCATAAAGAGACAGTTGAAAATTCCAAAACATATGAGGAAAGAGGGCTTAGAGAACTTGAAACTCATAGGATGTATTGAAAACAAGACGAACAGAGAATAACGAGTAACCTACTAAAAAAAAAGTTTGTGTAGATAAAGAAGTTGTAGAGAAGTTCAATATATTATTTATTGCAATTGTACTATACAACACATTAAGGGGACTCGGAATTTATAACGAGGTTAATGAACACTTGAAACGTATAAATAGACTTTGAGCTTTAATAATCTATGTCTTTGATATGCCAAATACAATTTGCAATAATCGCTTTACAATAAAATGATCTGACATGGGAGGACTGATATTACATAGTTTTCCTATATCGTAGCGAATGATTGACAACTTTCTCACAGATGAAGAGGAAATTTGAGGCCACAGAGAATTGGTTATCCAGAGGGATGATGAGAATACAATGGACGGAGCATGTGACAAACAAGAAAATTTTAAGGAAAGAATGGAAATAAAAAGGTCACTTATAATTAGAAGAGACATATTTTTGGTACGAATAACGAGGAAAGGAGCCTAGGAGACTTTGCCACTGACAGGAGATATTGAAGGCAAGAGGGACAAAGAGAGAGAAAAAAAACGATGAGTAACCTATCTAATAAGCTTGTTTAAATGGATGTCAGATCAGGGAATGGAGAACACAATAAAAAATCAAATATTGCTAAGAGCTACAAAAGATAGGAAGTTGTGGAGAGCCACAATCACCCACGTCCTGAAGGGATGCGGCACATAAAATAGATGGTCTGCAGAACAGAATAAATGATGAAAAGTCCAACCTTACTAAGAGCTACAAAATATAGGAAATTGAGGAGAACCATGAACGCTCATATCCTGAAGAGTCAAGACACAAAAAAGTTTTTCTTATTAGTCCTCGTCGAGAACCGCTACTATTTAATATGAGGTTTAATGAAAAAGTATCGAGACCGGTGCTATAAAAAGAAAACTACAACCAATATCAATTCTGCATTTAATCTCCTTCGAAGTAATCCCTTTCTAAAGCCACACACTTTATCCAGCGTCGTTTCCTTTGATGAGAGCATTCCTGGAATTCCTTCTTTTTTTTTTGGAGATATTGTCTTGGATTTCTTCGACGTCTTGGTCTTGGAATCTTGTTCCTTTCATGTGGGATTTGATTTTGAAGAGGAAAAACTTGCAAGTGGCAAAATCTGGGGAATATGGTAATTGTAGGACATGGGGAATGCTGGCCTTGGCTAAAAACTGCTGCACAAGTCACGGTCATTGGTGAAACCTCGGTGATGTGGGTAGACGACTACACTCTACACACTTTCCTTCCAAGCATTACTGTAAGCAACGGAAGTGGGCAAAAACGTTGTAACTTAGTGTGTATGCGCGACAGAGTTCAAGATTAATATGCGCCAAGCAGCTTCACTCTGCTTTAACTCCATTATCACAGCGACAGTCTTGATACTTTTTCATCAGAGCTCGTAAGCTTAGCTTCATCCGCAGAAAGCCATAAATGCGTGGCAACGAGTAAGAATTGAACTCACAACACAGTGGACTAGATCAAAATCCTCAGGCCCTATTTTACGTATAGATGTCGTTGTTGACGGCACCCACTCGCATCTGAACATCGGGATCGGCATCCTCTCTCCCTATTCCCTTTATCCTCCTCCTCCCACCACCCACTGCTGGCGATGGCAGAGATGGCTGTGAATAAAAGAGTTTGACGTGACCATTCGCGTGAATTTGATTTTGTTGGACAATTCTGAGCGACGGAGAAGCCCACACACTTGACCAGAAGTGCCTACCTCGCGGATCAAAAGGGATCGAGACAAGCGAGATCTTGCAGACCTGGTTGCATCAGGCTGTCAGATGCTTGGTCTCTCGAGGTCCGCCTTGGTTACACCGGCCCGATTTGCGCCGCTCTCTTCTGACGATTTTTGCCGCTAAGATCGTGTAGATCTATGCTTATGCCGCTGTTGAGATCTTCGAGGATTGATCACGTTCAGACTGGTCCTTCCTCTTCGTCCTCACTGATGTATACATCACTGCCCTTAATTAAATGACGGTTATGATCTTAAGACAGAAACAGATATTATATATCATCTGTACTACATTGTTTATGGGTTCCTGTAAAGAGAGTAGAAACGACTAATCATCAACTGAAAGCAGATAAAATATATGGTCGCCAGCAAGATAAAGCGTCCAGGATGCGAGCTACGAATTAGATATCAAAATGAAGCACGTACCGAAATTTAACTAAGAAGATGTTTAGCAAATGACGAAACTCGAAAGTACATTGGAATAGCGAAAGATGCCTTCCAAAAGCTAAGCAAAGTATTTTTCTTTTTTATGTATCGTGTCCCTTCAGGACTTGGGCGATCATGACTCTCCACAATTTCCTGTCCTTCGTAGCTTTTAATAAGTTTTGTCTTTTTGTTATCTCTCCTAAATCGTGTTCCGCCATCTATTTACTCAAGCATACTAAGTTAAGCGTTGTTTTCCTCTGTTCATCTTGCCTTCAATCTGCCTTGTGGGTATCAGATTTTCCAAGTTCTCCTTCTTCATTATATGCCCTTGAAATTTCAACTGTCTCTTCCTGATAACTATGTTTCCTTTATGTTTGCACTTTCTCTAAAACTTTATTTATATATTCAGTTCTTGGTATCCTCAGCATCCTTCTGTAGAACCATATTTCTGTTGCTTCAAGTAACTTCTGCATCTTTGAGGAGATTGTACGGCATTCACTGCTATATAAGAGGACCGAAATCACATAACAGTAGTCCTTTTTATTTATTTCTAACGAAGTTTTTCTGTTTCTTAATACTCTGCTTAGGTTTTGGAAGGCATATTTGGCTATCCCAATGCTTCTTCGGATTTCAATAAGAAAAAGAAAGCATTTCATTATAATCAAAGAAAAGAATGTTAAGCTGCTATGTAATATCAGTCCTGGTACATGACAGTGAATGCTAGACAAACTCCTCACAGATGAAGAGGTGACTTGAGACAGTTGATATGTTTTTTTCTACAGAAAAGTGCTGAGAAAACGGACGGAGCAGCCAAGAGAGTCTAAATAACATGGGTACTAAAAGGATATTTAAGCATTGAATCAGAAAGAGACAGTTGAAATTTCTTGGACACGTAATGAGGAAAGAAAGCGCGGGGAATTTGACACTCATGGGACATGTTGAAGGCAAGAGGAACAGTGAAAACAATGAGTAACGTACTTAACAAGTGGGCGGGATTGTAAGAAGACAAGGGCTACTACAAAGGATAGGAAGATGTGGAGTGTCATGAAGGAACACAACACAGAAGAAAACAGAATATGAAATATTATCTTAATTTAAATTGAATTCTTCTTTGAATAAACGAATGAGTAGCTTTTCTATAAGAAATTCCCTTTCCCTAAATTTATATTTTGTCTGAAAGTTGCAGATCATGTTTTTTATGTGCCACGTCCCTTCAGGGCGTGGTACTCCACAACTTCCTATCTTTTGTAGCCCTTCGCAATATTCTCTAATTTGACATCCATTTAAACAAATTAAATAGGTTACTCGCTGTTTCTTCTCCCTCTCCCTCCCTCTCTCCTCTCTCCCTCCCTTCCCCTCTCCCTCTCTCCTCTCTCCCTCCCTCTTCTCTCCCTCCCTCTCTCCTCTCTCTCTCTTTCCCTCTTGCCTTCAATATCTACTGTCAGTGGCAAAGTCTTCCAACCTCCCTTCCTCGTTATGCGTACCAAAAATGTCTCTTCTAATTATAAGTGACCTTTTTATTTCCATTTTTTCCTAAAAGTTTTCTTTCATCACATGCTCTGTACATTGTATTCTCATCATCCTTCTCTAGAACCAATTCTCTGTGGCCTCAAATTTCCTCTTCATCTGTGAGAAAGTTGTCAATCATTCGCTACGATGTAGAAAAACTTCTATGTAATATCACTCCTCCCATGTCAGATCATTTATTACCGCAAATTGCATTTTGCATATCAAAGATATAAATTATCAAAGCCAAATGTTTGCTTACAGGTTTCAAATGTTCATTAACATAGTTATAAATTCCGAGTCTTCTTAATGTGCTATATAGTACAATTGCAATAAATAATATATTGAACTTAATGTAGATATTATTGGTTTTGTACTAAATAGTCTTAATAGGGGAAATAATACGTATTTTGCTTCCTAGGAATACATGCCACTGGGAATTCAGAACATTCGTTTATGGAACACTCATCTAAAACATGTTTAACGATGCTGTCCGGAAATTTCTACGGATATTTTATTTATGAACTTATGGATAAAAAGAAGACAATTGGAAAATTGTCTTAGTCATTGCCGATGTGCTTCGTCAATCCAACTTTATCAAGGCAAGTTTAAAAGCGAAATGTTTTTTAGTTACATTAAATTCAAACTAATAAAAAGAAACGCTCCTGAGTAAGCCCCTACTCCTTCTGGATATTGGAAACATTTTTTTTAACTAAGAATTTGTTTTAGTTTTCCACGTCGACATATTTAATAATATGTCTATATAGAAAACTAAAACAAATTCTTAGAAACGTTTCGCTTTTAAACTTGCCTTGATAAAGTTTGATTGACGAAACACGTCGGCATTGACTAAGAAATATATTTTCCAATTGTCTTCTTTTTACTCAAATTGCCTTATCACCAGAATTATTCTGAGAAATTTCACAATATGAACTTATCCAATCATTAATTTAAGAATCAAGATTCATCAGAAAATTCAAATAGGAAAATCGTGAAATTTTCAACTAGTTGTTGATTATTTATTACAACAAAGATGAGGACAATAGTTCTAATGTAAATAATAACTCCTCATCCCAGAAATTCAGACACAAACATATTTTTACTTACCAACAAAGTATGTAAAAGAAATGAGCAAAATTGCCGTCTCCATTAAATATTTTCTTCAAATGCCAAACTGCTGAATATTTCTTTGAATTTTCATCAGGATAAACAAGAAATGATTGCGAAGTAATCCAATAAAAAAGAGCATGAACCTTTGCCACATCATCGGCACACGAATCAGTGAGGTATTTTACAAGGTACTTTACTTCCATATTGAGAAGTCTCTTTGGTGTCTGCAAGAGAAAAAACATATTTTCAAATAACCATTTTTGTTTTATTTAAATAATATTAACTATAAATTATTAATAGTAATATTGCATTTAACTCTCATTAAATGAATCATTGTCAGCCATTATTAATTTTTTACACGTATTTCTTCTATCTTAATTTCTATTGTTTTTCATCTAATAGTATTAGAAGTAATACTATTTTGAATTTTTATTAGGTGAAGCATTGTCAGCCATTATTAATTTTACTCGTATTTCTTTCATCTTAATTTCGATTGCTTTGCAGCTACCCGGACCATTATTCTAAAGTTTAAATTGTTGAGATGAAAAGCAAATGGCATTAAGGATTTTCTGGCTAAATGTTCATCCAATATAAGGGCCACTTAAAGTGGAAGGTTGCTGAATGACATAGTTTTTTTTTTGTTTGTTTTTTTCTTAAGTGTAGGAAGTAAGTAGAGATTATAGGGATTTGTCGGATAGTAACGACTTATGTTAGAAGTTAAGCTTGTAGTGATGGGGGGAGCATCCTTTCGGGAATCTGTTTCACAAAGAAGCCGTTTGTGGCGAAGAAACCCTCTGAGTGAAACTTCCTTCTTACCAATGGAATAAAAAGCCAATGGCGATTATTCCACTCTATATACGTAACATGGCGGGTCCTAGCTGTAAACAACTAGTCTGAACTAAGTAACGCAGCTCGTCTGAACATTGGAACATGGAAATAGCGAAGGAGTAAGGATAAATTTACATCATTTCGCATGTGGGAAAGGAGCAGTTGGGTTAAAGACAATCCATCGCCCACAAAGACGCGTAAATGCTTTTGTACTCTGTCAAGTGCAGTTTGGGTAAATCCAGCTTATATATGGCAGCAATACTCTATTTTTGGTCTGATCTGACTCTTGTACAGATAGAGCATGGCAGGAGGAATACGATACTTTCTGAAGTGACACAAAGAATACTAGCCAATTAATAAGACAATATATTATATATATTTTAAATAAAATAAAAATTTTAAAAAGTTATCTCCAATAATACATTGTCTTATTTCTTTGCTAGTATTCTTTGTGCCGCTTCAGAAAGTATCGTACTCCTCCTACCATGCTCTATCATTCTAGCAATACCAATATTACAAATGATGTGTTTATAAATGCATTTGATTTATTTTCCTCCTGATGAAGTTTCTAAGAAACTTGATGTCACGAAATACGTCTTTGAATTTTTTGTTTTAATTGGTATTATATTTACTTGATTCTTAATATTGAACACTTTATTTTTTTTTTTAAATGCTTGCAGTAAAACACAGCTTTATTGTTGGTGTTCTTATAATTATTGTACTATTGAGCATCCATAGAAACTAGGTTATAATTGTCCTTATTTCTATGTAGAAATTGTGTTCTAAACAGTTCTGTTCTTGGAGGGGACACTTCGCATGTTCAACGAGGAAGCAACAAGGTTTGGATTGTGCATCAGCTGGTCGAAGACCAAGCGGATACACGTGATGGGGGAGGGGGGCGATCAACCGTCCATCATTGGCAGTGACTCCGTTGAGTTCGCCTTGTCTTTTGTATACTCGGGCTCAGAAGTTTCCAACACCGGCGAATTCCTCACAGAACAAGAGAGCTGGCATCAGGTCTCATGAGAGACTTCTAGAAACTGCTATGGCCGAGTCGCGAATCTCCCCACGCACCAAGCTGCATATTTACAACGCCACGGTCCTCTCTGTGCGCCAAGATACGACCTCTCAGCAAGACACTCGCTTCCTGCGTTCATAGCTTCGAGTCCCGCGTCCCCAAGTCATGCATGAGGCGGATGCATTGGACCGATCCAGTGTCCAATGACGAGCTCCCCCGGAGGACCGGCCAGCCGACCATCCTCTACACCATCACTCAGCGCCGTGTTCGTTGGCTCGGTCACGTTCTGATGACCACCCTACCAGTCATCTTGTAGTTCGACACGCAAACTGGCGACGACCTCGCGGCGGACCACATAGCCGCTGGAAAGACATTTCTATCACATATTCATATAAGTCATTTGATCGATCTTCTACAAATTATCAATACTACTTTTAACCCGTGAAAATTCACGGTTTTGCTATTTTAATATTCTGATGAATCTTAATTCTTAAGTTAACGACTGGATAATCTCATGGTGTGTTCTTCGACATTAAAATATCCGTAGAAATTCTCCAATCGCATCGTTAAATATTTCAGCTTAACAACTTTAACAAAATATTGCAATGGAAATCATAGAGTTATAGATATGGTCATTATTTTAAGAAGTGAATACAAATAAAAGGATTTGAATTTGACAACTTTTTCACTGAAACAGCCATTTAACATTTCTACCTTACTCTTTCTTTCATTCATTTTCTTACTAGTAATGCCTTCTCCCCTCTCTGCACGCAATCAAAACAGAATAGTCCATTATTTATGAGGTATTGACAGGGCGTAATAGTCGTGCGAATTAACGAAGGGAGGGACAAGTACAATTTTAATAGGATACGAAATGCATCAGACATCTGTTGGTTATCAGATCATTATCTACCAAGTTGTTGATTAAACTCGACTTTATAGGATCGACAGGAAAGATGAACATTTATCTGATTTCCAGACAAGGTTTTGTTAGCTTTCTACGTTTGTTCATTCTAGCGAATAAAGAAATGCTTGTAAATGTTATCTTAATGTTATAGGGTCAGTCACTGGGTCATCTACAGCTTAAATATAGACTGCAATTTTAAAGAATTGACGTGTTTTGAAAAATGAAAACATTTTATAAAACCTACACGCAACAAGCTATTTCTTATTTAACAGTTAAAATATTCAATCCTTGAAAATGGCAAAATGTACAGCCGAAAGCGCTCGGACAGTTTTTATATAATTTATCACCTGAAAAGAAAAAAATTATTAGAACGCATGAGAAATTATATAAAAAAAAAATAAATAAAAGCACCTTGTCTGTCGTGTTCAATAAAATGTGCATATATATATATATATATATATATATATATATATATATATATATATGCACATTTCATTGAATACGACAGACAAAGTGCTTTTATTTATATATATGCGTATCCAAGCGATGACATAGTACGTGACGTCATTTGTTTACGTTTGGATACGCTTCGAGTAGACATGAATGTTCGAGGGAAACCGTGGAAGGTTGTAGTTTAAAAGCAGTAAAATCGGCCTTGCTAACCGGACGCTCCTCTGTAGCTAAACTGGTATAGCACGTCAGGCTATAAGACAGTTCCGTGTAGCATACATGTTCTATTCCTGTCGGAGAGGACATATTTCCTATGGAAATTTATCGGACATTCAGGCCGGTAAATGATGTCAATACTGTATATTATACACAGAGCATTTATTTAAATATTTGTATCTATAAAAATAACGTTTAAACTTATATATTCGCATTCCAGCTGAGTTGGTTACGTTCATCTCTTCATCCTCTCAAAACTATCAGTTTATGTCGGGGCTCTCTTGCCTTGAGATGGCTGTCTAGAAGGAAAACTCTAAATTCAAATCTAGCCTGAAGAGGGATGGGCTCCGTCAGGCTTTCTTCCTAGTCACGCCACCTGCTACCCCTATGAACCTAATGGATTACAGGACTCATGATATAATGTGAATCTATTTACATTCGATCGTCTTTCAGAATATTTTTTACTTGCTAAGATAATGTCATATTTTCAGTGATGGGTAAAAATCCGCCATACTTACACGGACACACTTTGCGAATAAAACAAGAAAAATTGGTTCATGTAATTTTTAGAAGAACGAAATAGAAAATACTTACATTTTCTATATGTTTATTGAGCTTTTTGTACATGTTCGGATTGTATATTTCTCGTTTTCGCTTCCTTGGAGGCTTTGGTTGATTTTCTAAAAGTGGATTTAATTTTGGTCCTGTGTCTTCATTATACTACAAGAAACAGAACAACATTGAAACGCGGAAATGAATTAGTCATTCAATTTGTGACGAATGAATAAGTGGTCGTTACATTCACTCAATCTTGTCTCTTATAATTCCTGCATTTGACGTTAGAAAACAATTTCATCACTGGATTAATTTATAAAAAAACATTTTGTTTTGAAACAAATATTGGACTGGTAACAGGAAATTTATGAAACTTGTTACCAATCCCCCCAACACACACAGGGTACACCCAACCAACACAACACATAGAGCAATGTTTTTATTTTATGGCGGCCCATCCAAAAAATATTCGATTTCAAAAAAGAACTGCTGAATGAGACAAATTCGCGGTCACCAAATCTTGACTCAATTTTAACCACAAGGAATCCATTTTCAAATACTATATATTAATTCTCCTGTATTTTAGGAAAGTAATGTCAACATTCTGGAAATAGAAAATATAAACACAGGTTGTCCTCGACTTGCGACAGAGTTCTGTTCTTACAATCCCTCATAACCCGATTTTCCATGTAAGTCATACTTCCGATTTCCCGTGAATAAGCACTTACGTCACTGATGTTTGCCATTGTTTCTCCCTTTTTAGAGCAAGTAACTATATCTAATTTTCACTTTCATGGCTTACCTTTTCTTCGAAGCACCACCATCAGAAGAGGTTACACTGTTTCGGTGCAATAATGACAGAAAATAAGTTTCCACAACACAAAATAACAGAGCGAATACACGATAATCCAATATGGCGTACACCCAGGAACTGATCCACATCGCCAACCAAAAAATAAAATTCGAAAATTATATAAAACCGTTTCATTCTTATTTCGTTCATGTTCCGAACGTATTAGAACAGTTTTGCATCGTTGCTTTATAAAATTGTAGAAAAAAGCAAGTTTTTACTCTAGTCGGTCCTGATAATAAGGCAGCAGGAGACTGCGCCAGGCTCGCTCGGCGCCGGTAGCGATACCCGTTCCTCGTCCGTCTGACGGGCAGTCGTGCATAACGAGGCGGCGGTCGATCGACGCTAGGTGCGCACTCCTCGTCATCGACAGCTGTCTGGCCTTTAGCGGGCGAGATCGACAAAGTTCGGACGCGTGCCGGCGTGGTCGGTCGTCGGAATTGCAAAAAGCAAAAGTTGTAACACGAGACGGTCTTTCTAAAAATGACAGCGGGGTCTTCGCCAGGCTTTGTCGGCGGCCAGCTCCGTGTAGCGCCGGATGACAACTTTTGTACGATGCAAACGTAAGTCGAAACAAGATCAATGGAAATTACGTCGTAACCACGAATCATCGTAGGTCGAGATTGTTGTAACCCGGGGACTTACTATATATATATATATATATATATTACAAAAGAATTAAAAAAACAAATATTAGATATCATAGTAAACATTTTAAGATATAAAGGATTTCTTTAATATGAATTTAAACTTTTTAAAAGGGCAGATTAGCAAAATGTTTTTTTTTAAATAGTGCAATGTAGATAGATTTTAAATGATTGTTGTGTATTTGATTATATTTTCAAAACTGTTCTGTGAATTTGAATATTTAAACTGTTTAGTATTTAAATATTTTCTAGAGGTAAAATAATATATTATTTTTTATGTAACTGAAAGAGGATTTGATGAAGATTTCTTCAACAATACTTAATAGTTTAAAGTTTGTTTTTGGTTTTTTACAAACTCAATTGAGATACGCAGGACCGGTACATACTACCCCCGAAACCCCCGACCAAAGTATGCCAAGCCTAACTGGGGGCATCGGACATTGCTTTGTGACCCTAGATATCTTCTCATTTTCTTTTTTCCTCCTACATTTATATACATTACGAATTAAAGTAAGCACAACTGACGATTAAAGAATGAAAAATTTTCCCAGATTTGGACTTAATTCTGGTGTCATTGTTTTTACACATCCAAATCCATGAATTTGCTTTGATCATGCTAAGTCTTGAAAAAAAGAACACTATATAAAATTCACTGTTTTATCAATAATGTATTAAAATTATTGAACTTTTTAACAAGAAAAATCTCAAGTTGGTGTTAAAAATAACCGCAAAACATTGTTGATTTATTTAAAATGGAATGATCTATTGACACGTCTTTAATTTGTATTTAGATACAGTGTATTTATTTTCAATTTTTCTAGTTGAATCATTCACCGATATTTCATATGATCCATTATTATTTTACATCCCGTGTCCCTTCAGGGTGTAGATAATTATGGCCATCCACATCTTCCTGTCCCTTGAAGCTCTTTATAAGTTTTGTCTTACAAACGCTATTCTACCATCCATTTGCTCAAGCTCATCAAGAATGCTTTCCTCTGTCCCTCAAGCTGCCCTGTGAGTATCAGATTTTCTAAGCCCTCCTTCCTCATTACGTACCCCAGAAATTTCAACTGCCTCTTTCTGATATTAAGTATAAGTTTCCTTTTTGTTTCAATTTTCTCCAAAACCTCGTTTTTGCTCACATCTTCGACCCATGGAATCTTCAACATCTTTCTGTAGAACCACATTTCTGTTGCTTCAAGTCTCTTCATCTCTGAGGAGATTGTCCAGCATTTGCTGTCATTTAGAAGGACGGATATCACGTAACGGTTCATTACTCTTTACTTTGTTTCTAAAGAAATTTTTCTACCTCTTAATGCTCTGCTTGGCTTTTGGAATCCATCTTTGGCCATCCCAATACGTCTTTGGATCTCAGCGTCTCACTTATCGTCCTCTGCTTGAACACTTCCCAGATATTTAAATTTCCTCACCTGCTTGATTTTAGTCTCCCCGATTTGTAATTTGTCTTTTGAGCTCATCCTTTAGCTGATAACCATGCATTCTGTGTTCTTGTAGTTTATAATTAGTCCTTTCTTCTCGTTTTCCTTCGTTAACCTCTGCAGGAACTTTTGTAGTTTCCTTTCCGTGTCTGCTATCAGTACTGTGTCATCTGCATATCTTATATTGTTAAGACCTTGGCTGCCAATAATGAATCCTACTAGGACTTCTAATTCTCTCAGAATTGCCCCACTGTATAGATTGAATAAGTCCGGTGAAAAGACACATCATTGTCTTACACCCCTTTCTATATTTGTATAACTGAACTCATTTTCTGTCTGTATGCAGGTGGTTTGCTGCCAGTAGAGATTCTTGTTTATTCTACTCTCTTTCCCGAATATATTAATGTTGCTGAGCAGCTCTAGCAGATTTTTGTGGTGTACTTTATTGAACGCTTTTGCGGAATCTATAAAACACAGCTACAAATTCTAATATATTTGTGTTGCTCTTTCTGATAATGTTCTGAGCGTAAATATCGTGTTCCTTTTTGCAGTGTCTTTGACGGACCCGCACTGTACTTGTCCTATCTTCGATCTGATTCCGCTGCACGCTTTATTCATCCGAATCTGGATGATAAATTTTGTTATATGGCTCATCAGGCTGATTGTCCGCTGGTGGTCACATTCGTTTGCGCCTGGTTTCTATGAAAATAGATATACTTAGGTTTTCCAGTATGTCACCATTGTTGTAGATTTCATTTATTATTTCTGTGATCATGTCTATGCCAAAATCATCTGCCATCATCGCTATTAGAATTCCGTCTGGCCCTGCCGCTTTGCTTCTGTTCAATCTGTAGCTTCCACTTTGGTTTTTAATACTTCCGGTCAGTCGATATTTCTATGTATTGCCGGTTGTTCTCTATCGGAGTGGAAGAGTTCTCCGACATATTAGTTACATCTCGGAAGTATTTTTTCTCTAATATCAGCGTTTCGTCATTGGATTTTATGCAGCCTGTTGATGAGCATGTTTTTTCTTCTGTTCTCTAATTTTTTTTTAGCATATTTCCTTTATCTGTGATGCTCATTCTCTCTATTTATACACATTTTTCGTTGAGCCGTTCTTCTTTAGCCAGCCTGCATTTGTTCCTTAATTCTTTGTGCAGTTTTTGATATTCCGTTCCGTGTCTTGGCATTGTCTGCTTTGCATCTTGTCGAGAATCTTATTTTGTCTGTTGTATTAAACAGAAGGATTTCATTGGTGACAAAGAAAAGAATACTGACCTGCTACGTGACACCTGCCCTCCTATACGGCAGCGAATGTTGAATGGCCTCCTCAAAGATTAAGAAGAGACTCGAGGCGGCGGTGATCTGGTTCTACAGAAGGTTGCTAAGGATATCATGAAGCGAGCGTGTGAGCAACCGATGAGGTCTTGGAGAAGATGCAAATAAGGAGAAAGCTTATACTTAACATAAGGAATAGGCAGATGAAAATCTTGGGACACAAAATGAGAAAGGAGGGCCTGGAGAATCTGATACTCACCGGTTGAATAGAGGGAAAGCAATGCATGACATACCTGGCGGGCTTAAGATAGAGGATGACAGAACGTGGTCTGGGGGAGGAAGCAGAGGCACGAAACCTATTGAGAGCTACAAGGGAGAAGTGGAGAGCCATGTTCGCCTATGTCCTGAAAGGACACGGGTTTTGCAGTGTACAACTGCATTCCTGAATCTCTTGTTGATAGTTATGTAGTCGATTTAATTTTTTTTCTCTTCCTGGGCTTCACCATGTCCATAATCGTCGCTGATGTTCTTGGGACCAGATGTTGGCTATTACCCGGTCATTCCCCGTGCACCGTTGGGCCCATTTTTCTCCGCGTTCTTTGCGGTTTCCTAGTCAGAATTTGCTATTTCACCATTCATCTCGTAACCTACTTTGGCGTTCAGGTCTCCCATGATTATTATAATTTCTGCGATTTACACTGAGCCTTGGCGTTGTCTAACATTGAGTACAAAGTTTGGATTTATTTTTCCGTGCTTTGTGCTGTCGGTGCATACAAAACTATGATGGATAGGTTCAAATGCTTTCCTTTCAGTTTAACAAGAATTCTTTCAGCTAACAGTAACCCATAACGTATTTCTTCATGTCTTGATCTAGTATCAATCCAACTCCTTTTTCCATTTTCTCTTCACCTTCATATATAATCCTGTGTTTGTTACTGGCAACCAAGT